GGCTCGTTGCTACGCAACGAGATTTTGTTTGACCCCCAACCAATATGGCCGATAAAACCGTGGAAGGGTCTATTACGCGCCAGTTTTAATCTTACGGAATGCATGCTGCTCCGTTGTTAACTTTGCACCACGAGTACATAATTGCGATGAGATGAAATCGACGTGGTCGTAACAGGATCGCAATGCACAGTTACGATATAAAACTGAATCAAGGGGTTTTCCAATCAGACTGTGAGTAGTTCAATAAAAATCTACTGAAGTTTTTCTCAAATAGCCTGAAGTTTCAATACTATTTATGACCTGTAATCGAGTGAAGATCGATAAAAAAAAACTGAACATGCGATAAACAAGTAAAATGATCGCGGAGTAGCCTGCAGAGCATGCGTTCTAGTGGAGTTTGGGCGAAAATTAGATCGCGAGATAAATGGAGCGAGGCGAAAAATTAGGAGGTGGGGGGTGGGCGAGAGGAGAGACTGGGAACGCCTGCCAGCACTCATTGATATTTTCAAAATACGCCTCCAGATTAATTATGCATTCCGAAATTTGAGCTTTGAGAAAACAGCCAAATCTAAACAGCCACATCTAAATGTTCATGATTTGCCTGGCGATGGACTTCAAGTAAAAGTTTTACTACGAATGTCGAATGGAAATGTAGTGGTTCGCATCCCTAGAGACGAGGAAACTAAAGCACTTGTGAAAAATATAGCCTTGAAGAATTGGAGCGCGGCCTCTAAAGCTATACTGACTCATCGTGACATTCAAGAAGACTTGAACATTTAATCCGAAAGAAAGTCGCTGATGAATTTACAGAGTGCGTGACTCGTCGACAACAATCGCAACAACGCTTTCACGAATCTTGGATTGGCTTTTCTTCATAACATTTAGGAATGGTTTCTGTAGAACCCCTTCAGCCGACCCAATCAGCAATTTGAACTGCGAGAGCTGTGCTTCTCCCATTGTAATTTGGCTTAATGCTCCTGCTTTGAGGCCCAAAGAATTCCCTTCGGATATATACTTGGTCCTCTATAATACTTTTCAAAGGACAAACAACGATTACAGTACAGTTTTTCTTTAACATCTCCTTCCTCACGGTTACGAGCAGTTGGAATAATAAGGCTTTTACCAAATCCAGTCGACAAAACAGGTAGTAAATCGCCCCCGTATAGACAAGTTGCCTCAAACTTTGTAGTTGTTGAAGTTTGAGATCAAATCGAAATCTAGCAAACGACTCGAATAAATCCAAAGAAATGTTTAACGCCCTCGTAAAGTCTTATTCGAAGGATTCCGCCATTTGGAAAGTGCCACAGTGGTTGTGTAATGTAGCGAGTTGATGTCTGTCAATCAGACTAAAACATGAAAAGCCAATCAGAAGCGTTCGTTCGCGAACGAGTTTTTGAAAATATTAATGAGTGCTGGCAGGCGTTCCCTTCTCTCCTCTCGCCCTCCCCAAATGTTTGTGTAAGCAGTCAAGAGATGTTGGTTAAATATAGATTAAGACTCACAACAGACTGACCCAAAGTTGCCCTTGAATGATCCTGGCATTTGCATCAGTAAGTGAGCAACCTTTAAATTGAAAAAACGGCTTTGCATTTTAAGATGCAGGCTTAAGTCAAAATGGGCCTTGAGACTGGAATAACCTTTCACTTTATTGAATTAATTAATACGCAGAATGCAAACAGTAATTGAGATCGTCTTCTTACAAATACAAACACAATACATTCGTGGCGGAAATGAAATAACTTATTACAAATCGATGCGGCCAAATGAAAATGAGTTGGTTCGATGCATAGATTTTGCCTTTTTAGCTGGAGCTATACCGATAGTGGGCATTTAAAATTGTCCTAGTAAGAAATCATTGCAATGTTCTATTTATTATGCCCTGATGAACCATAATGAGATAGTCTGTCGATCTGCAAGCAGAGCAAGGGGGAAAAGATGACATTAACCGTAAAAAATGAGAGATAAAGTAGCCACTTCAGCTAGGAGATCCACTGCTTAAATTTAGCCTAGTACTGAAACTTTAAGCGTGAACGAGCAGCAAGATATACACCACGGGATTAAGCCTACACAACTATCTCAAAAAGAAAGGTGGTTGGTGTAACTTTTTCACAATCATCCATAAACAAAAATCGCTACAGCAACTTTAGAACTCTAAGTATATTCTCTCCATTCATATAGGAATTACGATAAAGTCAAAAATTACCTACAGTGAAACTCAGAAAACTGAGGACACCAGAGATTTGTATCGAATGCTAGGGATTTCAAGGTAGATTCTTGGTGTTAGGAAACTACATCGTGAATGGCAAAAGTCATTATTTTGTGTTTTGGGGCTTGTTTGCGCATTCTGAACTTGACTTTGATTGGTTAGTACACGATTAACCTGTCAGAATCCGGCAAATCAAAGTGTTCAGAGTTTGTTGAGTTTCAAAGGGAGTTGATCACGATTTATTCCTCTATACCATGACTGTAATTAAATAAAGGGTCTTTCTTTTTACGGGTTTTTACATTAATTAATCCAATTATTGCGGCTAGAAGAAGAATCCCAGCAATCGATATCGTCACAATGGCTGCCAACTTCCAATATCTAAATCAGTCAGGGGTACAATTAATAAAGTAAATTCGGTAGTTTCTTACAATTATGTATATAAGTGATAGATGGACTGCACGAACTCAAGGAGTTGTAGTGGAGAAAAGTGGAAGGAAGAAAGGGGAAGGGGAAAGGGATGAAGAGGAAAGAGGAAGGGAGAAGAGAGAAAGGGAAAGGAGGAAGGGAAAAACGGGAAGGGGAAAGGGTTGAAGGGGAAGGGATGAAGGAGGAAGGGAGAAAGGGGAAAGACGAAGGGGGAAGGGGAAGGAGAAGGGGGAAGGGGGAAAGGGATGAAGGGGAAGGGGGAAAGGGTTGAAGGGGAAGGGGGAAGGGAGAATGGAACAAGACGAAGGAGGAAGGGGAAAGGGAGAAGGGAGAAAGGGGAAAGACGAAGGGGGAAGAGTAAGGAGAAGGGGGAAAGGGATGAAGGGGAAGGGAGAATGGAACAAGACGAAGGAGGAAGGGGTAAGGGGAAAGGGGGAAGGGGAAGGGGGAGGGGAAAGGGATGAAGAGGAAAGAGGAAGTGAGAAGAGAGAAAGGGGAAAGAGGAAGGGAAAAACGGGAAGGGGAAGGGGGTAGGGATGAAGGGGGAAAGGTGAAGTGAGAAAGGGGAAGGAGGGAGGAGGAAGGGGTAAGGGGAAGGGGGAACGGGAAAGGGGAATGGGAAATGGGAAAGGGGGAATGAAGGAAGGGGTAAGATGGAAAGGGAGAATGGGGGAAGGGGAAAGGTGGAATGGGGGAAGTGGGATTGACTCTGACTCAGATGAAATCAACTCACCCACAACTCACAGACTTTGTTGCGTTCCTTGCTCCACTAGCAAGGAACTGGCACTCGCGAGAATTTGGGAAATCAGCACACAGCAGATGTTGAATTTCACTTTAAAGACGAAACATGACATCGTTAACAAAGAAATCTGCGCATGCATCGAAAGTTATTCACAATACTCCTTTTCTTAGGGGGCACATGGCGTAAAATAATTATTTATATAAACATAATCCACAGTCAACAGAATTCCTATGGGGAACTTAGGCAAACCATGATGGTAACGGCAACGAGAACGTAGCATGAAAACAAGAGACTTAATGAGCAAAACAATAACTTAGCAAAAGTTTTTTAAAACTTTGTTCATTTATTTGCCGTCCTTTGCAAAACAGCAGTGTGAAATCATTAAAACTTGCTTGGTCTGAGAACGAAAATCACGATGACAAATTACTAGAGTTTCCATTTGGAACTCGAAGCTGCTCACAACGTTCTGCTGAAGTTGAGGCGTCGCGTCGAAAGAGACGGCAAACATATCTAGCCATTCGTGCAATTCTAAATACACTTTTTAAGCAACGTTTTCCGGCCTCGGCGTTGCTTTCCTGACTGCCTGAAGTCCCTTATAAGGGTTAAGGGCTGATAGTTTCTAAAGAAACCGTTAGGGGCTGCGTCGGTGGGGGTAACGAAATAACTTGGATATATCAACAAAGTTGAAATGGTAAATTGGCCACCATAACGATTACGAAAGCTGACGTTTCGAGCGTTAGCCCTTCGTCGGAGCGAATAAAGATTAAACGACCACAAACAAAAGAGTTAAAACATTTTTTTAAAAAACACGGATCTCGGCCCAATTTTGATCTGGTGAGGTACTAATATTCGCTTCTCGTGCCCCAACAAGACAGCTTCCTTTCTTAGCCTTAATAATTTATCGGTCACGTTAATCATAATAAATTGAATGTGAGTATAGAGATAAAAACGCAGTAACTCAGTTGTCTTTTGGTGCAACTGAAAAACTCTGTTATCGCGGTCAAACATTTGGGATGTGAAAGTTTGCAGTCGCTTTGAAATTTTATAAAGCTTTTTTTTTCTGAAGGGGCTGAAGAGAAGAGAAGAGATGTGTTTTTCTTGGACCTGGAAGAGCTATCACATGAGAAGGGTACTAGGAATTTGAAAAAAAAATTGGCCGAGAAATGAGAGGTCACCTTCTCTCGTTCAGAACCACACCCATTTCACTATGTTCCATTTTAAAGTTATACTTACGCCGGGTTGTCGTGACAAGTCGTTTGTATGCCTCTTTTCTTTGCATCATTTTCCATCTCTTTGATGGAGCCATTACCACAAACTTCCCTGCGTTATTTGTGAGATAAAATATAGCATATTTAACAATTATTCTACGAGCGCGCGTTGGATATGAGATGATAGATAGCCAACGAGGCGCTACGCGCCTCGTTGGCTATAATCATCTCATATCCAACAAGCGTGAGTGGAATAATTGTTTTATTAAAAACGTTAAATTAAATTATTAAATTTTATTAAATTTTTTAAGCTCCCTTTTAATTTTAAGCTGACACGTACGCTTACCATATTTGTAGATTATGGTATATTGGCTCATATACCATAATGGCTGGGCCAATGAAAAGTCTTGAATTGCATTATCCAATGATTCAGTTTTTAATAAATCCTAATTAACCATTATCGTATATAAAGCTTATTGTAAAGTTCTGTCTTACTATTAGTTCAATTCCACATATCTAAGCAAAATGAAAAGACAATGAGCCAAAAGAATATAGACAGTTTACATTCTCTTGCAATGAGCTGATTTACAAATAGAATGGCTTGAATGCCTATTATGAAAAATGCTATATATAAGGAGGCTGCACCCGGCCAGAATCAGAAATATGATCTTGAAGGAGAAGAAACATGGTACCCCAACTAACTTATAACACTAATTATAACATAACCAAAGTAAAGCGCGCGCTCTGATTGGTCAATTTAGCGTCCCCCATTTGCCCATGGGTGTACGCTGCTGACGTGAGCAAATGCAAAGACTATTTTTCCGCGCGCGCTTGTTTTTTCTGGTCGCGTAAGATTTGTTAAATAAA